AAAAAAAAAAAAATTTAAAAATTATTTTAATTTTTTTTTAAAAGTTTTTTTTTTTTTTTTTTATGGGCTTTGGTTTCATTCCCCTGCGCCGCCATTTTATTTAAAAACGGGATGATAAAATTAATATTTTTTGGAATGCTTAGCATGCCCTATAAAAAAAATTTTTTTTTCTTTTTCTAATTAAAAGGGGGTATAGGGGGGAGGGGGGTTCTCAGTTTTTTTTTTTTTTTTGTAATTAATGATGGATGTGTCGAATTCGAAACCAACCTCTCAAATCATCAACAAATCAAACAAAAATAAAAAAGAAAAAAAAAAAAAAAAAAAAAACATTTTTTCCGATAAAATTAATTAACAATTATTTTATGTATATATATATATGTATATGTATATATGTATAAAAGTCCTATTGATCAAACTTCCACGCCTAAAATTCTATCTACAACGTATTCAAACCTTTGATTTTCCTTTCCAGACTGTATACCTTCACTTCCTTCAACCGTTCTAGAATCTTTATCAACACTTCTTATATTTATTTCACTATTTTCCATCACAACTTTTTTCTCTTCTCCTTCAACGTTTCTTAACGTTTCTCCCGTCGATTCGTTTATCGTTTCAGACACTATTACACTTAACCCTTCTTCATTCGATTCGTTTAATTCGAGTTTATTATCATTATCATCATTATCATTATCATTATCATCATCATCGGCATCGGCATCATCGGCATCATCATCTTCTAATTCGGGATTCAATAGGGACTCACCTCGCGTGAGTGTACTGCTTTCCGATCGTATTTCTTCTCCCGGAAGATTTGGAATATTTAAATGAACTCTTGTGAAAAAAGCCATTTTCTCTCTGAAAAATCGAGTAAATTAATTTGTTGTAAATTTAAATAAATAAATAAATAAAGTTTATTGGGGGGGGGGGAAAAACTCACTTGAATGAAATAACATCCGGTTTCCCTTTTCCGGCCTTACTTTTCCTAAGTTTATATATTTCTTTTGCCGTTTTCTTAAACATTTTTTCCACCCTTTTATCATCTTGACTTTGAGGTTGAAGCGAAGTCTCCGCCTGAGCTATCAACGTTTGAAACTGTTGATCTTCCAAAACCAGTGCTGCCAATTCGGCATCACCCCTAGCTCGGACCTGAAAAAAAAAAAAACATGCATTTTTTTTTTTCATTCGCCATTTTTTTTTTTTTTTTTTTTAAATTCATAATTAACGTTCAAAAAAATGAATACAAACGCTTTCTAATTTCGTCGTCAAGTTTCGTAGTTTTTCCAATTCATCTTGTTGAGCCTGGAGCCTGCTTAATTGTGCTCGACGATCCAGTTCCAAATCTAAAGATGTCCGAGCGACCGCAGGAACTCTTCCACTTCTCCGATGTGAATTGACTTTGACGACGGTTAACCCCGACGATGGTTTCCATCTCAAAGACCTCCTTTCGACCGAATTCCTTTGAAAAGGTGCTCCGCGACGATAAAGAGGCATAGAACTATCACTATCACTTCTGTTTAACTAAACACGTGTCATGTACACGTGTGAAATTAGCGACAAACGTAATTTTTTTTCTGTAAATATATCCTTATTATCACAATAAGTGTTACTCACGCGGCAAGTGTATTGATGCTGAGCTGCACTAGGTGAAAAGGTTTGCGACCTTTTTATAATTCCCATTTGTTTGTTTTCCCCTCGATTTCCTTTTTCGAGTACGAAAACGCATTCCGTGTTTGTTTCTTTATCGATACACGTTTCATCCTGTAAAATTAAAATTTTCCTTTTGTTAAACAATATAATCTGTATTTTCAAAATTTGGATAAATTTTGAAATGGAATCACGTGGATATTGATACCTCGAGAGGAAAAACTTGTTCGAGAACATCTTCTTCTTCTTCTTCAGCAAGGCAAAACGTGGATGCGCAAGATTCGACGACGGCAGGGCGTGTTAAAGTTGACGCTTGAGAAGAAATAATAGTACTTTCGTCGCTACTTTCTTCTCTTCTCGTTTCATTTACTTCAGACTTATTATTACCCTCATTTTTTACGTTTATGCTACTATTTCGAAGTGTTTTATTCGTTGGAGATTTTAATTGCATGAATTCAGAGCCGAGAATGTTGTACCATTTAGAAGAAACGGATTCCGGGCTGAAGTCTGCCAGACTAACCTGGGCGTATCCCTAAAATTTAATTTTTTTTTTTTTTTTAAATACTTTAATTAAAATTATTAAACTTGTGTACAAAACGCCGTTTTTCTTTAAACTGTAAAATTTAACTTACCACGCACTCTTCTATTGAATTAGTTAAACACAAAACATTTATTTGCAACGTTTTCGACGACAATTTGTTGAGTGCGACCGAGAGTGGAAAATTTTCTCCAAATATCGGCTTTTTTAAATCAGTCACGGTTTTTGTGCAGCAAGACCCAGATCCAGGTCCGGAGGGAAGAAGAACGGTTTTAATGAATCTAAAAATTTAAAATATTTTTCTTGAATAAAGTCGTATTGGAAAAATTTTCAACTCGATAAAACTTATACTCACACTTGAGACTGTTGAGGAATTAATAAAGCTGATAAATTCCTAGCTCTTTCTATTCCAACGTGAAGCAAACCTTCGGACACCGCGTACCTAAAGTGAAAAAAAAAATAAATAAATATAATTCACGGTTTAATTTATATTTTATACATGCTGTAAAAAAGAGAATTAAACATTATAATTACATATAAAAAGATTGATTGATTAAAAAAAAAAAAATGGAGTCGAACCTTAATTTTATTTGAATTTGTGCCGTGTCCAAATTGCAATGTTGAAGTCTATTTGCCGCTTCAAAAACTCCGGAATCTCCAGCAACCGATTCATCGCTTACCGCCGCAGAAACGGATCTGGTATTACTACCGGATGATGGTGTACTCGAAACCTAGAAAATAATTACATATATATATATATATAATTATTATTATTTATATTTAAATCATTTTTTTTTTTTTTTTCCCCGTACCTGAATTAATTCAAAATTTTGATCTTGAGGAGTCTCTGATATTGGAGAAAGTGGAGGCTCCAACTGTTGCCTCGTTTGTGAGATTCGTGATTGCGGATACGCTCTTTCATCTTCGCACAATCTTACATTTTCTAAATTGTGATCATACATGAGTAATTTGTTTTTAACATTATCTAACAATTTCCCGCTTCTTTCCAATTGCCTCTGACGTTCCACATCGTCATATCGAGGCGGAAGGCATACCAAGTTAATACCTATATTTTGATAGAGTGGATCCGCCGAATCGTTATATTTAGAATTGACTAACGTAGTAGGATTGTTTCCAGTAACAGTTTGAATATTACTTTCGGACATTTGAAATTTATCATAAATTATTGAATTATTACTTTCAAAAGTATAATTTGATACTTTGGAAGGCACTTTGTGAAGTTGTGGCGATACGGGCGGAGAAACAGAAGAAAGAGAAGATCTAGGAGAAAGTGAAGGTTGGGGAGAAATTGCATCGTTAGACGAACGTAAAAGTCGCTCGACGCGTTTATGAAGATCTATCATATCTACAGATGAACCGGGCCAATTCACATCTAATTATTACAAAAATAAATCCATTAAAAGATAAAAATGAACGTCAAGTTAAAAGCAAAAAAAAAAACAAAAAATGTAACTTGCCTGCTTGACCGTAAATGTCGGTAAAACTAAGGCCGCTAGATAATGATCCTTTGCTCGACGAGGTTGACAACGAACCCAAGCTAGAGCTGCTCGACACGGAAGAAGTTGATGCGGAAAGAGATTTTAATTGGGATTCAAGTGACGTCATAGTTCTTAAAGCTTCACATAATTCTTGTAGTAATATTTGTTTTTCTTCGTGTAAACGAACCCTTAAAAATTTTTACAGTAACGTTATTCACAACGACAAAATAAAATAATTCTTAGACAAATGTTTTAAAGAATATAAAATGTGTACCTGTCAGCTATAGCCCTATTATTTAACTCTAAAGCTTGATTCAAATCTCTTTCCAATCTTTTAACCTCAAGTTGAATATCAGTCATTTCTTGAGCTGATCTGCTTCTTGGAGTCATGCTACGCAATTCCCTGAGTAATTGTTCTTTTTCTTGGAAAAGTAAAAGACGATCTTTATCGCTTTCAGCTTGTCCAGGAGTTACCTACAGGAGTTTTTTTATAATTTGTAAGTAAGTGAAACCAAATTTTTAATGGTGTGCATTAAAAAAAAAGTTACCTTTTCTTCCAAATCTGCCAATTTTCTTTGAACCAATTGCACGCGTTTTCTAGCTTCGTCGTATTGCAACCTGGTTCTAGCCATTTCTGCAAGTCTTGTACCTATAGGAACGAGTTCTCCAGAAAGGTCAGTTTGTGAAGCCGTACTGAGTTTTTCTTGAGGCAAACTTAGAGTTGACACGTCGGGAGAACTTTCTGATAATTGTAACCTAAAAAAAAATTTATTTTTCAATTAATGTGCGTCAAAGTTTTTATTAATAATATTAATTAATTAAACAAATTAATAATTAATTTTGATTATAGACAAACCTAGTCAAATCATCCTTTAATTTAGCTAAACTTTGCATAAGCTCCGCCTTTTCTTTTTCACCACTCGACAGTGACATTTGAATATTTTTCAATTCCGTGACAATGGCTTGTGCTTCGCTAAGGTTGTAATATCCACCCTGACCACTAAGTTTTTGTTCAACGCTGGCCAATGTTTCCACCCCTCTTTGAGTGCACGTCATTTCCGTTTTGATTTGTTCAAGCTCCCTTTTCAGCCTTGATACTCTGTTTCGGGCTAACGCCACATCGGATTTTAATAAATCAGGATCATACTTTGTGCTGCTCACATTAGAACACACTGAAAAAAAAACAAAAAAAAATTTTTTTTTTTTTTTCCCCCCTCTTTAGTCATCCATTTCAAATTCAAAACAACAATAATAATAATAATAATAATAATAAAAAGGGGATAAAAAGAAAACAACTTACAAGATGATCGTGACTTATTAAGAGTTGTTAAAGCATTATTTAAGTGATTGTATTCATCTTCAGCCAGATATAATCTCTGTTGCTTCACGTCAAAAATTTCTTTTTTGGCCTAAAAAGAAGAAAAATTTTTAATTTTACTCATATTGACACGAAATTATTTTAAACGTAGGTAAGGTAAAACGTAGCGAGATTCTGTAACCAAAAAAAAAAAAAAAAAAAAAAAAGAAATTTTTAAAACTAACCTCTAGAGCATCTTGAGCAGTTTGAAGATAATCTCTTAGCATAGCTTCCTGTATCGCTCGCCATTCTAATCTAGGATCTTCTAATTGAGTACATTCTGAAATTTATTTTAAAAAAAAAAAACTGAAATATTTATGTTAAAATATTGCAATAATATTATAAATAAAAAACACTTGTTTTTTTCATCAAGCGGAACAGTAAAAAAAAAAAAAAAAAAAAAAAAGAATCATTTGCCGTGGGCGGAAGAATATCCAATTTCTTTTGCTGGCTGCATTCCAATATGGTCGAACTCGGGAGACCTAATCAAGGTCGTGTGTTCGACGGTTTTTTTCCTTTTTTCAGCAAAGACAATAGTTCACGTATAAAAAAAATTAATGCTCAAAACAACCTTTCATTCCTGTTAGTGTTTTGTTTCGATATTATATTACTTTTTCAAAAAGTATTACTGTTATTAATTTCCTTTTAATAAATACTTATTACTACCGAACGAAAAAAAATGTGCTACTTACGATTTACGTGATTGATATAATAAACTCCTATTTGGGCATCGTAAGCCTCTTCCCAACCGAGAGGTAATTCATTACCGATACAATCCGCAAAAGTCTGAGGTTTTGTAAATCTACAAATTTAAAAAAAAAAAAAAAAAAAAAAAGTTTAACATTTAAATATTTCACGGTAAAAATTAATTTAAGGGCGAGGAACAGACCTCGAAGGTCGTTTTATTTAAACATCGCTAATGTACGTAATAAATGATGAAATACGTTCGACGACCATTTTTAAATCCCCCTTTTGAATGCATAAAAAAAAAAAAAAAAAGAAAGAAAAATCATTTTAAATTAATAAAAACGAAAGAACAGAAATCTATTTCCGTTGATTGCGACTGCCCACGGATCAGGAAAAAAAAGATTAAATTTTGCACGAGGAAGAGAGAGAGAGAGAGAAAAAAAAGCGGGAATCAAAGTCGGATCCTCTCCATGAGACTCTCTCAATGACAGATTATCTCAAATAGCGTACAATTACATAAAGAATATGAAGCGAATTAAAAAAAAAAAAAAAAAAACCCCATCATCAAGGCGGTGGAAAAAAAATGGTGGAAAGACGCGAAAACCAATTTATTTATCATTAAACAACTCGGACAACTTAAAATTCTTTGAAAAGATGCGGAGCAGGCAGAGCCGCATTCCGTGGATTCCAATGTAGATTTTCAAATAAGATAATATATTTTGTAGTTTTAAATTTTTTTTTTTTTTTTTTTTTTTTCTAGCCATTAAAATTTTTGAGAAATTTTTAACTACATTTTACGCGATTGGTCGAAAGAATTATAATATCGGAAGGCCAGGTAATACGAGATTAATAAGCCAATTTTTTTTTTTTTTTTTTTTTTTTTTATTACCAATGGAGTATATATAATGAATATGTAATTCATTTGATGGCTATTTACTTAAAAATATCGAAAAGTAATTATTTATATAATAATAATAATAATAATAATAATAATAATAAAAACTAATAATTCCAAAAATCTTAAAGAGATATTTTTTTTTTTTTTAAAAAAATAATTTGCCCTGAAATGGAGTTCAAAAATAAAAAAAAATTTTTAATTACTTTTTTCCCACATTTTAAATAAATACAAAATCCAGAAACTCCCCCACAAATGCAGTTCAATTTTCACAATTAAAAAAAAAAAAAACAAAAACAAAATTAAATCCTAAAATTGTATCCTGATCCCGAGTCAAGATACAGAAAATGATTTTTATAAAACTATTTTATTATTAAGAAAAATGGCTAAAAGAATTTACTACTCTCCCAAACTACCAAGTTTTTTAAAATTAATTACACAATAAAAACATCAATTTTTAACCATAAACAAAAAAAAAAAAAAAATTTCAGCTCATGGAAATAAAAGTTAATAAACATAAACACTAAGAATAATATGATTAGCAGAAATATTTAATGTTTATCAATCATTCACATCATTTCCTTTTTTTTAAAAAAAAAAACAAAGATTAGCAATTTATAATTTAAAGTCACACTAAATAATAAAACAAAAGCCACAGTCGTAAATTTGGCCAAATATTTCATATATATATTCAAATTGTGTTTATAATTTTGTACGAGAAGGTTAAAAAATAAAAATTTAAAAAAATTTCAAAAATAAAAAATTTGATTTACAAACAAACACATCGAAAAGAATTTTTAAAAAGAAATTTGAACAAAATATATATTAAATAGAAAAGTTAAAATTATAACTCGACAATATAATGACAATTTAAACCCATAAAAAAAAATATTTTATTTATAAAAATTAATTTTATAAAATAAATTACTTTTAATAAAACAGTCGTTGTAGGATTAAAATAAAATATATATATATATATAAAAGGAAAGCATAACAAAATATAAAAATAGTGCTTCATTCAAATAGTTATAAAATGCTACAGTTATAGAAATGACTTCGATAATTTTTTTTTTTAGGAAGCATTTAAAAATATTATAAATACTAAATAGGATAAGAATATAATAATTTAAATATTTATATGAGATTGTTATTATTTATATTAATTGGTAAATTTTTTACTATGGGCGCAATCATTTAAAAAAAAAAAAAGAAAAAGTCTAATCAATTATTAAATATCTAAAAGTAAATTTATGACGATTGTATATTTCAAATTTTTATTTCGTAATAATATGTATATATTAGACGAACTATAAGTTAATACACTTTATATTAATTTAAATCAAATGCACATGAATCCTATTTACTTTTGTTATAACATTTAAAACGAAAGTTATTTTCTATTATTAAAAAAAAAAAAAAAAAAAGAATGAATATTCATTTAAAGTAACAGAGGGTTAAAATATGTATTCAAAAAATGGAATTCGGTCCCTTAACACGGTACAAACACAAATTTAAATACATGTAGGCACAACGAAATACCACACTGAATTTTACATGAAATATTTTCAGCCAGACTGCAGCACATGTACAGAGTAATGTACACAAGTGACTATAATACTTTTTTTCTCTTATTTTATTTTATATTCAATACATAATATTCTTTTTCAAAAGGAAATTTAAATGCTTTTATAATTTTTTTTTTTTTTTTTGTTAAATTTTTTTTTTTTTTTTTTTTCGACTTTAATAATTTAACATTTTAAAATATGTGTTATTTAGAATAAAGCCAATTAGAGAGAATTTATAATAGATGGCCTACCTGTCTCTAGGGTCAATCCAAGTTGTTTTCTTAGTAACATGGTCAATAAAATAAACTTTTCCATCATCGTCTGTAGCGTATTCCCAACCTTCGGGTAATGGTAACTCGCCATTTCGTCTCCTCGGCATAGTTCAAACTTTAAAGCCATCCAAAATCACAGTACTTGCACTCACGAAAACTTAAATTCCGCCATATTGAAATACCTCAAATTTGTGACGTCACGACAATGGAATGCAATGATTAGCTCATTAAGCTTGGTGTTTTAAATAATTTATGATTTCGCGATGTTAATCACATTTAAAAGTATAATTCTATAAACGTAAAAATAAAACGATAATTCACATATTTTATCTGCAAAACTAAGCGATCGATAGTCAATATGACTTTTCAAAATTTTAAAAAATTAACCGTTTACACCGTAAGCGCATTAATTTAGCCATTGAACACAAATCAGGTAACTAATTGTTGCGACCTCTGATATAAAAAATTTTAACTAAAATTGTCGCCCTAGTAAAATATTGTCGACAATATTTAATGATTTATTTGTCACTTTATCTAAAAAATGATTTCGTTTATTAGATTGTCTATTTGTCTATCATAATATATATATATATTATTTTGTTTTGTACTTTTATTAAAAATTGTGTATATTTTAGTACTTAAATTATGGCTAATTTAAATAAAAAGTAACAGGCATGTAATTAATCTTATTATTTCAAAATTGTATCATTGATATAGATTAAACATTTAAATTAAAAATTTTTTTTTTTTTTTCTATTCAAGGTCATAACTTTTTAAAATTAATTTTGATTAACTTGTTTCATAACAAATATTAGAAATATTTATTTTATGTAATTTTAACTTTTAAAAAATAGTTAATATTTCTCAATTTATTAAATTTAAATATCAGTATCCGAATGATCAGTTCCCTAAATTTGCCCCCCTTTTCAAATTTTGATATTTTATTTTAATTTTCGTTTTAATTTAATAAGTTTAAATTATTGCACTCAAATTATTTTCATTATAAGAAAAAACATAATTATAAATGAATTATTATTTTTCAGAAATTTTTTTTTTTTTTTCTTTTTTTTTTTACCATAAATGCTGAAAAATGCAATTAAATAATTACTCTGCAATGTTAAATTATAATTTAAATTTTAAACAGGTTATTTTTAATTTTCCTGTGTGCTTAATTTTATGAATGAAAATATAAATAAATGAAATTTACTAATTTTAATTTATTTACTAATTTGCAATGTTATTAATTATTTGTTTGATTATATATTAATTTTTTTAAATGTACATTTTAACTGGTTTTTTATAAATAATTATTAATATTGGTAGTTTTTTGACGATTAAAATTGTTCTTATCCTTTTTAGAATTCATCATGTTATTACGAGGGAAAAATTATGGAAATGATACAATCGATGTGTTGAACAAAAGTTGTTTTTCTCAGTATGATATTTTAGCTTGCTCAAGATCAGTTATATTAAGTGCGGCAGCAGGCATAACAATTGTTTTCATAGTCTTTAAAATATACAAATATCACATATTTAAGCACAAACAAATACAGCATTATGCAATATTTTATATCACTGCTGCAGAAATGCTTGTATGGTGGGTAAAATAGTAAAAATTAATATTAAAGCATGGGTGTAAATATTCATAATTTTTAACATAAGTGAAAAATAAGATTTGTTTTACAAACACAATCTAATTTAGTTAAAAACACAAATATTATAAGAATTATTATTTTTGTTATTAGTAAGTTAAAAAACAGTTTCAATAATGTGGTATACAATTGGAAAATTTTTAAATGTCTTTTTATTAAGTTTTTGAAATTAAAATATATATTAGTTTTAAGCATTTAATTTTAAGTTCAATCTTGGTCATTAAAATATCACAAAATTATATACATCAAAATAATAATAATAATTTTGATATTGAATTTTGATTTGATTGTAAAACAATGACTAAAAGCAATAAATTCTAGCATTTATAACTTTAAACAAATATTTATTTTAGCATTGCAAGTTTCATAACTGGTCACATATATCCTCAAGTTAAATTCTCTGCAAATTTTTTGAAATTATTGACATTTAGCATTATTTGTCATCTTCATTGGTCTTCATCGGCTAGGGCTTACAACAGAGAAGATTTAATTCAGCATGCTATAAATCCAGGACTATGTTTATATATGATATATTGCACAGCTGTAGCTCTGATGGGCATGGTTGATGTTGGTATAACATGGAACGAGTGTATCAGTAAGAATAAAATTATTTTTTTACAAAAAACTTAACAACAATTTAGCTTTCATCACATTAGAATTTTTATTACTTTAGAGCCGTATTGGTTAATGTTGTCAATAGCAGATTTCGTTGCTGTTCAATGTTTTGCACTTGCCGCAGTATATATTACTGTCAAAACAAATTGTTTGCCAACATTGGCTTCCATCAAAAGTGCTCAAAGAAGAGATTTAATGACTGTTGTAATTGCTTTCGAATTGTCTGCAATTTTTTCATTTTCATTCGATGCTTTAATGAGATTTGGTATGTACATTTTTTTCCAGTAAAATTACACTTTTTGTATTAAATTAATAATAGGCTTCCAATAGGCTAGCGAAAGACTTTACTCATGTAGTTGTGAATTTAATGTTTAACAATACTAATGAGTTAATAATATCAAGTATGTATGTGCAATGCTAATAGCCATCTTTGATTATTTTTATGTTTAGTAGGAACTGAAGAAACAGGTTGCAGTGCTATTTTCGGTCATTCACAATTTTTTTATTCCGCCACAGAACTAATTTTCAATGTAGGAAAATATCTGCTACCTGTGTGGGCTATTTTAGTAGTGTTTCAACCTGTCGAAAATAGTACTTCAGCCTCTGATATAACAATTTCTGGAGGTTATAATTTGGTAAGTCCACTTTACGTCTTTTCATTTTAAAGATATCATTATTATAATTTGAAAAAATTTACATTTAAAGGATGGAGCTTCAAACACAAGCAGATCATCAATCAGAGGATTTCATCAATATCAAAGAATGTGCGTACCTTCCACTACTACTTTAACGTCTGATGATTCATCTCGAAACCATTGCATGTATCCATCTCTGTTAAACTCTCCTCAATCACCCTCAAATTTTAATTCTTCTCCTCCACCTTTGACTAATAATACTGACGTGATTGGATATACAAATCGCATCACGTTGAATTGCAATCCTCGCGAAGATGGAAAGTATTTTGGGAAATTTCAACACCACAACTTGACAACTATTTCAGAAGAATCAAATATAAATGCTGTCGATAATTTAGAAAGACTTTCAATTAGGAGTGAGAAAAGTGCAAGTTCTTATTATTGACTGTTTTGAATATCAAACTAAGTTATTATTAAATTATTAGCTCTTTATTTTTAAAGTACAGTTTTTTAGCAAGTCAGAAAAAAATTTAAAACTTAGTTTATAGTTATATAGTTATTATGCTCATATAAAGAAGAAAATGATAAAAAGCTTTCAATTGAAAAAATTATTTTTTCAAAATTCACATATATAACAAATCGTAAAACAATTATTTATATTTTATGTGATTGTGTATGTTGAATGCAGATGCATAATACTGTACTTTTCTTCTAATGGTAAACATTTCTTTGTGTCGATGTATGATAACTTTAAAAAAATTTAATAATAATAAAAATTATAAATAAAAACATGAATGATATTTTTAAAATGATTTTATAAATGATCTTAAATAGAAAACTGTTTTTGACTATAACATATTTAAAAATTATCGGATTTTAGATATATATATATACACTATTGTCTGGAATTTAAAAAAAAAAAAAAAAAAGATATTGATAAATTAACTGTATTTCATTCCTATGATATTTGTACGGATATAAATTGTATATAAATTTAAATATGTATTTTCAGTTCTAATTATATTTTTGTTTTGAATTAAATAATATATATATAAAAAAAAAAAGATATTTAATGTATTATCATTATTATTAATTTATATTATGTTTTATAATTTTGTACTTGAATATAGCTCATATTTATGGAAATTAAATAAAATTTTAAATGATTGTAATAAACCCTTGGATTATTAATTATCAAAGTCGGAATAAAATTTTGTTTTGATTTTTATATTAATTTTTATATTGTACCTAGTGGTTAAAATAATTAAGAGTTTATTTATTTATTTAACTAGAGATCATTGTAAAAATAAATCATTTTATGATTATAAATAAAAAAAATATTTATCGATCATGAATTAATATTTTCTTAATATTTTGAGCAATATTATATATCAGTCTGAAATTATAAAAATAAAATATCTGTAACGACATAATTCTTGGTCGAGCTTAAAACCTATAATACACTCAAAACTTTAAATAGTAGCAAAATCATAAGATCCTTAAACGAGCGCAAATTTTTTATTCCAAAGCGTCCATTAGCGTTTATAAGAGCTTTATTATTTTGATTGTTTATTAAAATAATTTTTATTGTCATGTCTCGATTTGAAGAAATTCAAGCGACTTTACAGGTCTAAATTATACTTTTGCGTTGTAAATTATTTTTATTCCCTTTCATAATTTTTTTAAATTTACTTAAACTTTTTTTGTCTATTTTGGTTTTTAGGTCCATGTAATGTCATCTTTTTCTAATAATTCAATAGATGAATTAGACACTATTCGAAATTCATTTTCACTGGGGTAAATTTATTATTGTATAACTGCTTTTAAATATTTCTAAATTTTTAATATTCAACGTCCTAACTATTAAAATTGGTTTTACTTGAAACTGAAGTAGAAAAATTATGTTAGTATTAAGGTTATGTTATTATTGTTTTTTTTTTTTTAAATTCAATAATTTTTCAGAGATGTTGAGAAGAGAGTAATCACAGATCAGGTTATGAGAAATTGTTTATTAAACCTTGCATCAAATAGTGAAGTAGAATTGAAAAGTTTAGAAGAATTTGTTTCATTTGCTGTTGAATTAAGTAGAAGAGAAATATGTTCTCCATCTATACCAATAGTTCTTTTATCAGATACATTTGATATATTTACTTTGGATCAATGTGAGAAATTGTTTGCATATGTTGAAAATAATGTTAACATATGGAAAGAAGATATGTTTTTTAGCGGTTGTAAAAATAATTTGCTAAGAATGTGTAATGATTTATTGAGAAGGCTGTCAAGATCTCAAAATACTGTTTTCAGAGGAAGGATTTTACTATTTTTAGCAAAATTTTTTCCTTTTTCAGAAAGATCTGGTGAGTAACTTGATTTGTGTTCTTTTCTTTTCGTACACTTTCCTTAATTTGATTTTCACTTTATTTATTAATTTTTTTAAAAGCTAATTTAAAAAAATATGCTACAATATATATAAAACTTATGTGTGTCATTTAAATCTCATTAAAAAATAATAAACATTACAGAACAACTTGTTTTTTTATTAGGATTAAATATTGTAAGCGAATTCAATTTGGATAATGTAGTAGAACAATCTCAAGATACATCAAGCCTTGAAAATTTTGAAACAAGTGAGGAAAATGATGAAGAAATAAAATTTAAAATTGATTATAATTTTTATAATAAATTTTTAAGCCTTCAAGATTTCATGAGAAGTCCTAATCAGTGTTACAATAAAGTCAGATGGAGAGTTTTTGTAAATGTAAGATTATTATTAGTTGTCATACATAAAATCTTAAACTAATGTTGATGACATTGAAAAATTAATTAAACTGCAATGCAAAAATTATTTTATAAAAAAAAAATAGAAATTCATAAGAGGAATTTTTCTAGAGTGCAACTGATGTGCTAGCTGCATTTCAAAATTTTAAATTGGATGCAGACCAATATCAAGATAAACCGATTCACGATCACATATCAGAAGCCACATCCTCGACATTTTTTGCCAAATATTTGACAAATCCTAAACTCTTGGAACTACAATTGAGTGATCCTGATTTTCGAAGATCAATCCTAATACAATTTCTAATCATTTTACAATATTTGAGCTCTCCTGTAAAATTTAAATTAGGATCTTACGAGCTTAAACCGGATCAGCAAGATTGGATAAAAGAACAAGTTACTTTAGTGTATCAGCTTCTGGCTGAAACTCCTTTGAACAGTCATAGTTTTGCTCAATCTGTTAAACATATATTGGCGAGAGAAGAATTGTGGAATAATTGGAAAAATGCTGGTAATAAAATAATTATTATTATCACAATAAATTTTAACCTTTTTTTGAAAGTTAATTTAGTATGATGAAATGAATTTGCAGGGTGTCCAGAATTTAAGATGCCTGGAAATGTAGAAGAAAAAAATTCGACAAAAACTAAAGTTAGAGGGAAAAAAAGAAATATTGGAGAACTTATTAAAGAGGCTACGGCTGAAAACAAATATTACATGGGACAGTTAGTATATATATACCTTTACCTTTAATTAGTTTATTAGTTTAAAAAAAAATACCCAAATTATAAATTTTTTTGTTTTTTTCTCATACAGTCCTGAATTAACAAGATTGTGGAATTTAAATTCTAATAATTTAGAAGCATGCAAAGCAAAAGAAAGAAAATTTTTACCTGATTTTGATGAATATTTCGAAGAAGCCATAATGCAAATGGATCCTGAAGCTGCCATAGAACCAGAATACAAGAAAGTAAAAGATCCGAATTTCGGATGGCGAGCTTTGAGACTCTTGACTCAAAGAACTTCCTGTTTTTTTATATCCACAAATAATCCCGTCACTGGTTTACCTGATTACTTAGAATTAATATTGAAAAAAATAGTACAAGACCGTCCGCAAAATTCAAACGGAGAAATAAAACAGGAAGTGTTGAACACGGAAGCGGAAGAAGTTGAAGATTTACTCAAATCGGAAGAAAAGGAAATGCAAGAAGATGGAGGGGAAGAAAATACGACGGAGCCGAGAATAGCTTTACACCTATTGAAATCCGTGTCAAATCTAATAGGAGAACATTGGAAAACGTTAGGTACAAAATTAGGACTCGAAAAAAAGGAAATAGATAAAATAATTAAAGAAAAATTGAGCGATAGTGAAAGCGCGGAAAAAATGTTAAAAATATGGATTGACGTGGATGTAGATGCTTCACCTGAAAATTTAGCTTATACTTTAGAAGGTTTCAATTTGAATGAAGCTGCTGAAGTTTTAAAAGTTAACAAGCAGTAGAATAAGTTATTTTTCAAAAAAAAAAAAGGTATTAGTTCGTTAAAGTGTTTTTTTTTTTTTTTTAATAATTATTTTTAGTATGTACAAAATATTATTAAAAAACTTTTAATTTCTTTAACGATAAAAATTGTTTTCATTTTCCTTCCCAGTTTTTATTAATTGCAAATAAAATACTATGTGAGGGTTAACGAAAAAATAAAAAAAATTTTTTAAACCTTACAAGGAATATTTTTATATATAATTTAAAAATAAAAAATGTTAAACAATTTCACTTGAATTAGAATTTCGAAATGAACAATCAGATTCAACGTTAAAATTTTTATTTTCTTCATATGAAATCAACAATTTACGATTTTCTAAAAAATATTCTCTATTTTCTAACTGACGTTTCGAGGGAGTTTTAAGAATTTGCATTAAATTTTGATGAGGTTTATTATTTTCATCATCATCATCATCATCATTATCCTTCTCCACTTCATCGAATAATAATTTTCTTTTCGTTTCCATTTCTTCCATTTTAAAAATAAAATTTTCTAATTGATTTCCTTGTTCGGTTTGTGAAAATTTTTCCATTTGATTTTTATTAGACATTTTGTCACATTTTAATAAGCACTCATTTGATTTTTTTAAATTTATATTTAATGTCTCAATTGATGATTCTAAAGAAGTATCTGATTCGCTTAAAATGCAATCCACATATTTATTTTTATATTTATAATAATTATCATTCACTAATTTTGATTCTTTTTCCAAATCATCTAGTTTTTTCTTAACACTGCAAATGACTTCATCCGAAGAAATGTTCATTATTGTCATTTCTTCGTTAATATCATCATCATCATCATCATCATTGCCTCTATCACCCTCTGATATTTTCTCATAATCGCTCATAAATACATCTTTAGGACTATTATTATGCTCCACAATATTTTCTAAATTATTTTTCACCATACTAAATATCTATTTAATTATAAAATATATACAAAAGTTGAGAGTTTTTACAAAAAAAAATTTAAATTTAATGGTAAGACCAAAAAATGTTTTTCGCATAATTCTATTTACCTCGCTATCATTATTATTAATGTTTTCATCTTGACAACTTTCTCGGATATTTATATCTATTGATTTTTTCAGTTGTTCTTTTAAAACGGAATTCCATTTGAAAACTTTTTGGTAAGCATTTAATAATTCTTTAATAGTTTGATTTTGTTTTTTTTTTTTCACTTTGAGATTTTTATTTTCTTTTTGCAATTCCCTAATAACTTTATTTAATTTTTTATTTTCGGTTTCTAACGCCTGAAAAAAACGAATTTCAAAAATGTTCTCATTCATTTTATGTTATTATTATTATTATTAATTAAATATTTGAAATGCTACTCACCAATACGTTTTTTGACATTTCAATTATTTCATCGTGTTTCATTTTCCATTCGGAAACCATTTTCGATAAATATTTTTGTTTTTCATTTAATTCTTCGTCGATGCGTTCTCTCCTCTTAAATAAATTCATTTCGGCTCGTTTCAATCTGTAAAAAATATCATTTTCGTATTTTCTCAACGATTCTTGTATTCTCATTTCTCTCTGTGTCAACAATTCGATTTGTTGTCTATGCTTTTTTTTCGCCATTTTGTTCAATTCGATTTCGGTAACGCTGAAAAAAAAAAAAAAAAACCGTTACCAACATGATAATTTAAAATTTAAAATTTTCAAAATTTTAATTTTAAAAATAAATTACTTTAATATTGATTTTTGTATCGATGAAACTTGTGGCGGACTTATTTTTTCATTTAATAAAATATCAGCTATGTTAGAAAACCAAGATGGCGATAAAAATTCTTTTGTGATTTCATTTGAATCGCTGAAAAACAAATAAATTATTATTATTATTATTTAAAACAGTGAATATTTTAAATGTTTGAGGGAAGAGGGGAAGGAAGGGGGGAAAAACCTTTCTAAATTTTGATGAATTTCCAATTTGATGAACATTTCAAATATCAATTGTAATATCAATTCCAACAATGAACTTTTATTACTGTTTTGAAAATATTCATTTTTAATTTTTTCCCTCACGTATGCATTCGTCGACAATCCTAAAGCGTTAAATATATCATCCAATTCATTTTCCTACAAAAATCAATTAATTAATTTTCATTACATTTCGCATTTAAAAAAACAAACAATTGTTTAACAGATAAATTTTTCCAATACCATGAATATATTATTTTTTTCGGGCGCCATATTTTTTTTTCTCTTCTTTCTCTCGTTATCAATGAGTGACTTTATGGAAAAATCACTAAAACCGTTCAACGCTGGGACTTCGCTCGTGAATACGGAAAGCGTATAATGATATTTATGCCATAATAATTGTTCTGCAATTAATAAATTTATCGCTTGGATTTTCGGCGAAGCTCTTTCCGTCGATTTCAATCCGATTCTTGTATTTTGCAAAGACATTATCATTAAATGACGTAAATGTGATCTTAAATCGGCAATTACGCCATGACTTGAAAACCATTTGTCTAATTCTTGTTGAAATTGTGTTTTATTGAATAACTCTTCATCATTTGAATTTTCTTTGTTAAGTTTCATGTCTGGAATATTAATAATAATAATAATAATAATAATATATTTGTTTGCCAACAATGAAAAACAAATAATTTCATTCATAAAAAAAAAACCACGTGGTCCACGTGCACGAATGTAATTTTTTTTTTTTTTTTGAAAACTTTTATAAGAATTAAATTTTTTAAATTTAAATTTAAATTTAAATTTATGTGGCAGGTTTTTTTTTTTTGTGCAAAACAAGTGGTTTTGAGAAAGTTGACCTCACCGTGGAGAAAATAAGTATTAAATGTTGTCCTAGGCTCTTTCGGCATTGATATTTCAGTCCTGGATCACACGGGGAACGGTTTGAATCGGTCGGACACGTTTAAAGTTTTCGGTTTCCACCGTTAGCTTATAGCCACGCACGCTCAGATTTGATTATTGGATTTTTTTTTCTTTTTTGTTTTTTTTTTTTTTTTTGGATTCAATTTTATTTGTTTAAAAATATTACTGAAACAAATATTTATATATATATATATTTATTATAATTGTGCAATTGTAATATTTTTATTATTTATGAATGATTTTTTTTATTATTAAAAAGTAAGTTTATATTTTATATATTTACCAACATTAAATGAAAGAAATTTGTTAATAATAATAAACCTGCAATTTAAATAAAATAAATAAATAAATAAAAAACAATACAAATAATTGAGTTTAGATTTATGTAAAAAATAAAAAATACATTTTGACATCATATTCTAATAATGATGATGATGATAATTATTACATTACATTAATAAGGATATAAAATTTAACCTTCATTTACAGGTAAAAAATCCAAAAAAAAAAAAAAAAAAAAAATGAAAAATAGTCTGATACAATACTTTAATACCGGATATTACAAAAAAATATGCAAATAATAATAATAATAATAATAATAATAATTAATGTATTTGTGATAAAAGAATAATTAAAATCACAACAACAACAACAACTGACAATTAAAATGCAGAAGATATTTGTCAGAATTTGTATGAGTTTTATTTTTTTTTTATACCCTCCTTCAAGTGCTCGTTGTATTTCCGGTATCGAATGGCAAGATTCAAAGAATGGAGATTCACAAGATGTCGGAGCCTATAGTTACACTACAGCTTATATAAACGTCACTTATTTAGATCCGGTAACGAATAAAATTAAAAGTGAAAAATCGGAAATAGGAAAATTCGGCGATGGAAAAGTGAGCTCAGTTTCCGGTCTTCTCATTCACGTTTCCTCGTCCGAAGGTGAATATACGGGGTGTGCTTCGCCCCTGAGAAGTTCTTCGGGTGATGGCTCATTACCACAAGAACCTTGGATAGCATTAGTTAAGAGGGGTCAGTGTAATTTTGAAGTGAAAGTTGATAATGCTTTTAAGCACAATGCATCTGCCGTTCTAGTTTATAACGATAGAGAATCAGCAACATTAGATAAAATGAAATTAACGGGTACAAGTGAGTATTTTAAATTAAACAAACAAATTTTAATTTAATTAACATCATTAATTTTAATCGTCCATGATTAGTATTCTATACACATAACTTTATTATTTAGAGCATTTTCCTCATTTTAATTTAGTGTTATAAATATTTCAGGTTGTAATGCAATTATCAAAACAGACCAATCACTTTTTAATTGTTATCTTGACCTTGCAGACATAAGAATCACCTTAAATCAAGGTTATGTTAATTCAAGGTACCCATATATTCAGATAACTTCCTACTACTCATTTCACTATAAAAATTAAAAAAAAATTCCCAGACTTCTTTCTCTCTCTCTCTCTCTCTCTCTCTCCCTACCCCAGTATTACCAACTTTTGTAACTTTTATATGTAAAATTTCCCATAAAACAAGTTTTTATGGCAAATTCCTAGTAATTGAAATTTTTTAGGACTAAAAATACAATAAACATTTAAAATGTTCTTTGTAACTTATAAAAAATAATATTAACAACATTAATATAAGAGATATGAAATAAATTTGAAATAAATGAAAAATTTTTACTCAGCATAATTAAATTAAAAATAAATTTTTTTTGTTATAAGGAAATATGAGTGCAGTTTTCACTTACAAATGGAAAGGCGAACAACTTGCCAAATTAGTAGATAATGGTTCAAGAGTCATTATTTATATTACGGTAGCTACTCATTGTACCCGTCCGATTGTACATAGCAACAGGTAACTGAATTATAACTTATAAGACAACTTAATAATTCACGATTCGAAATTTTTTTAAAAAAAAACTAATAATTTGTCATTTCAGAACTTCCGTTCTTTTCGTTTCAATTTCGTTTGTTGTATTAACACTAACGTCAGTAGCATGGCTTCTTTTTTACTACGTGCAAAGATTTCGTTACTTACACGCAAAAGACCGCATTTCGGTAAGCAAAATATAAGTATTTTTTTTAATAAATAACTTTTTTTTTTTTTTTTTTTTTAAACAAATAATTTTCACTTAAAATAGAAAAGACTATGCAATGCTGCAAAAAAAGCACTCACAAAAATCCCAACAAAAAAAATTCAACAGGAAGACGAAGAGGTTCAAGGTGATGGCGAATGTTGTGCTGTCTGCATAGAGCCTTACAGAGTAACGGAAGATCTCAGGATATTGCCCTGCAGGTAAAAATAATTTACCACCATTCGTTTCCGTTATACATAAGCACCTGTTATTTATAATTAAAAACTAGAAATTGCTATAAAATGAACAATGATATTTAAATTACAGACATGAATTTCATAAAATTTGCATAGATCCATGGCTGATGGAGCACAGAACATGTCCTATGTGTAAAATGAACATATTAAAATATTCTTTATCGAATTCTAAAGAAAACAGATGTAATATTAATTCGGATGAAAATGCAGCTCAAATGGTAAGCTTTATTCACAATTTTTTATCGAGATGAGATTTTGTAATTGTTTGCAAATATTTTTTCATGCTAAAAACCTAATAATTTACATCTTATACTTGTACTTTTATAATATAATCTTAAGTGTACAGGTACAAACATTTTACATTTTAGGTTTTAAGCTGTAAATTAATTTGCATTAATTAGTACATTAATTAGTACTTCAATAGTATTTACCCATTTAATAAATTAATACATTCGATATCATCTATTTTTAAATAAAATATCTTTAAATTATTACAACAAAATTATTTTACAAATTTTTTAATATGGATTTATTATTATGTGTATTAGGTAAACATAACCGAAACAATTACAGAATCTCAGTCGATAGCTACAAATTCGGAAGGAGAAAATATTTCTGCAACAACGCAAGACAGAAGGCATGATAATTTAAATCATAGTGATAATAGTAAAAATGATGATGATGATGATGATGGTGTACAACATCAAATGACAGAAAGCACAAATTAGATTTATAAAAATTTTATGCTTTTTGTTAATAAAAACTTATTATTACCTTACAAAAAAAAAAAAAATGCCAAAATTAATTGTAAAAAATTTTTTTTAAATATGTAAATTTTAATGTGATAAATTTTAGTAAAATTAAAAAAAACTCTAGTCAAAATTTTTTTTTTTAAATCGATTTTAAGTATTTTTTATTATTAACTGTGAAACTTATTTTACAAATGCACATAATAGTAAAAAAAAAAAAAAAGACTTGCACTAGGCACTGTATCCCATTTTGAAAAATATAAATGATTTAAAATAAATAATTTGTAATTAAGAATCGAAATACTCAAACACTAAGTTAAATTTATTTAATATTTTTCAAGTTTATTTAACTGAATTTTACAACTTATACATTATAGATAAACTTTTTCTGTTTTTTTTTTGTTTAAATGTATTTAATTTAAGTTTTAGTTGATTTCGATCAATTTACTATATGTAAATAATAATATATTTTTTGTTATTTTGTTATTTTAATAAATACATAAACATAAAAAAATTGTCTTTGAATATTTTAATATTTTTTCCTAATTTGGAAAAGAAAGCAATTTTCAACATAAAATAATATAAGATTACCAGAAATTTTTTATGAGTATCTTATAAGAGTATAATTGTAAAGATTTTAAAAATAAATAATTAAAATTTAATCCAGATTTTTTTTATAACCACAAAAATAAGTAATTTATCCTACAAATAAAACTGTCAAAGTTGAACACAAATGTTTTATAAAACTATTAATCTCAAATAATACATTCGTTGAAAATACAATGTGATAAAATATGTCAAACATTAAAAAATTTTATAAAATGCTTGACAATAAAGTGAAATAATAATTAGAAAAAGTACAATTGTACATAACTTACTTTTTTATAAAATTAAAATAAAACTGATCAATTTCTAGATGTTTTATATCGTTAACAATTATGTAATAGCAAGCTTAACAAAAGCGAGTAAAAATTTTTGATAATATGTAAATAATAAAAGACTACCAGTCAATAATTTAAATAAAATAAAGTAAATATAGAAATATCATTTGAAAAATAACAAATATTAAATGAATAACGAATATTACATTATTAAAATTATTGTTGAGTAAGTATATTAACAATCAGACTATTTTCAGAAAGCAAAAAAATAAAACAAAAAATAAAAAAAAATTAAATTTTAAAGTTTAAGATTTGAATTTTCAATAAAAATCTATTTGTATTTTAAATATAAAATATATCATAATAAAATTATAGGTTTAGAAATATTAGAATGATATAAATGATTTATAAAAATCGATTGCTACTACAAATTTTAAAGTAGTAAAATTTAAGTTTATAATTAATGAATAATAAAATTATCATTATTATTAAGTATGAAGAAAAAGTAATTATAAAAAAAATTCAAAATATTAAAATGAATTTTAAAATTAAAGTATTTACCTAAGCAAATAGTATACACTCAAATTTGTTTTAAAATTACATATTTTTATAAATAGAAAAAGTTGAATAAAAAAGCCTAGGAAAATTAAATATGTATTATTAGAATTATTGCTAACAATAAAAAAAAAAAAAAAAAAACATACCATTTGCAGATTTTTGAAACAGTTTTTGTCGAAATATTTGTTGCTTATAATTTTTTAGCTCCTATATAAAGTAGTTTTAACGTAAACAAAATAATTTAGCCAAAATTAGTTTACTAAACAAAGCGGCAAATTGTTTTGATTCGTAACAATAATTATCGCAGTGGCAGCAGAGTATCTAATTTTTGGCGCCTAAATGTGACATGCACTGCTAATTCTGCTAATGTTTGTGAGAACAGGTCGTGTTATTTAAATTTATAGAGATTATCTGTATAGGTAATATTAAAGTGAAAAAAAAGTTTATGCGCAGAAATGGTTAAAACGCACTCTAATCCTAAAAATATTAGAGTTACAGCCAAGGCTCCCAGAAAAAGTACTACTACAAGGCCAACGGATTTGTCTACTTGTTAGTTTATCATTTTAACTATTTTAAAAATATTAGTATAACAAAACATTTAATATGATTCATTTTGCTTGATTTAATATAAACTTATTTGCTTTTTTTTTTTATAAATATTCTAAATTGATCTTTTTTTTACCAAATTATTTTAATTATAGAATTAATCTTATAAATAATATTTAACAGCTTCTGGGCGAAAGTACACTTCTCTTAATAATTATGTACCCAGGCCAGTCCCAGCATGGCAAAAAGAAATCACTACATTTTTCCATAGAATGGAAGAATCTGATAGTTCTGGTCCATCTACAAGTGAAAATAATTTAAATACACACCAGGAAGACCAGGAATCAGAAGAAAGCAATTAATTAATTCTTTAAAATATCATTTGCATTATTTTAATTTAAAACAATGGTTTAAGTTTAACCGCTATAAATAATTAATTTCAAGGCTTTTTTCTGAACTTTTCAATATTGATTAAATTTTTTTTATTATTAATTTAATATTATGTAATTATAAAATTAAATTTGTGTATGGTTACTCATCAAAAAAAAAAAAAAAAAAAATATTGTACAAATAGAAATGTATTACCCTACAAAAGTATTAATAATGTCATTCACTTCGATATTCACTTTGTAAATAACTTAATTTTCATTTTTTTTTTTTAATGTTAAGGTTTATTATTAATTTTGTTTTTGTTTAATAGATAAATAATTGATAATTATTTTATGTTTTTCATTTTAATGATAAGTTTCCCTTGCTTTCAATCAAATTTCATTTTTTAATATTTGACAAATTTTTTTTATTCAAATCGTGCACAACAAAATGGCAAGACATTAAATTTTTTATTATTGAATTCGTTATAAAAGCACCTTTTCTTGTTATTTAGAAAAAAAACATAATAATAATAATAAATTATTTAAAAAACACAAGGAAATTTTATAAAATTTTTATAATTTTAAACAATTTAATATAATAATTAAAACTTATTTAAGAGGATTCCAATAAATATAATTAATTATTAATCGATAAAAATATTAAATAAAATAATTAATAATAATAATAATTTACCAAACCTAATACATATAAGGTGTGCATTATATTAACGGTAACATATATATGAAAAAGCATTTTGACGATTAATTTAAAAAAAAAAAAAAAAAAATGTCAATTTATCAGTAATAAAAAAAAAATAAATCATAAATAGATTATAAATAATTAATAATAATAATAATTCTATGTAATAATATATATACATAAATTTTTCACTATAAATCAAATGTTGTAATAATAAATAATTTCAAAAAAAAAAAAAAAAAATTTTTTTTAAATTTACGATTACAAATAAAATTAACAAATTTTCGCCATTTTTTATAAATAATATATAATATAATTTATATATTATTATTATTATAAATATATACGATTTATTAATGGACTAAAAATTCAATATATATAATTTCAAAATTTTAAAATATAATAATTATTAATTAAAAAAAAAAAAACTCTAATCGGCGAAAAAGTTATTGATTGTGAAATTAAATTGATTGAATATTATTTTTAAAAAAAATTCAAATTTATTATAATAATAATAAATAAATAAAATTGAAATCATACTTTTCTTTAAAATATTATTATTATTATTATAGTGTTACTGTATAAAATTTTTTAAGTACATATATATATATATATATATATATATAATTTATTTAAACATAATAAAATAGAAAAAAAAAAAAAAAATTTTTTTTTCATCGTCGTTAATTAATTAATTATTTATTTATTTATTTATGTATTGAATTTATGATTTTAATTACTTATTTATTTATTTACTTTTCACTTCATCATTATTTGTTTTATTTTTTTTTAAATGGATAATTGATTATTTTTAAAATAAATATACATTTTTATTTAATATCATTAAAATTTTCAATAAATTATTAATAAATAACCGGTTCGAAAACATTCAATAATAATAATAATAATAATAAATTTTTTGTAATTGCGTTTATTTTTATTATATATTAAAAATTTAACTAAAAGTTTCGTCCATAAAGGCATTTTAATTAAACCGACGCAATTTTCTGTTTATTTCGCCATTTTTATTGAAAAAAAAAAAAAAAAATAATAATAATAATAATAATAATTTACATTTGATAAAATGCCGTGTTATGATTTAAAAGGTTTACGTTAATTGTCAAACCCGACTTTCTTTATTATTTAATTTGGGATAAGATTGAGGACTCGAATTTAATTTCGGATAAGATCTACTCGCATTTATCGATAAAAGGTGACCGCTTTCCATTTCCCCGTGAAGTTCCTGTTGGATTTGATTGAAACTCGCAACGGATCCACACCTCTGACGACATAAATATGGAGTCTCCTTCGAAGGTCTCTCCGAGCCCTACGACAAAAATAAAAAAAATTTTTTCCCCTCTTTTTTCCCGGAGTGAAAACAATAATAATAATAATAATGACAATCACAATCACTCACCAAAAAGTTTATTTATTAATTTCGAAAACAAATAATTTAATAAATTCAAAATAAATAAATAAATAAAATACAAAAATTTTACGAGAGAATCTCTCTCTCTCTCTCTTATTATTATTTTTTTTTAATAAATAAATAAATAAATACAAAACTTAAGGACTTATTTTACACTTTGTAAAATATAAATAAGATTTTTTAATATTTCAATAAATGAAATAAAATCCCAATTCAGATCCACAATAAAAATAATAAATAAATAAATAAATAAATAAAATAAAATAAAAAAAAAACAATTTTCTTTTCATTCAATAATTCAGGGCCAGCGCTGAATATTTTTTTTCTTTTTCCCTCTTTTTTTTTTTTTTGGGCAAAAGGAATATTATTACATTTTCCTTTTTTTCTCATTCAAATCTTAAAATCTTGATTATAAAATTGTTCAGGTATTTCTTTCTCGACTATCATGAGTTCAGTGTCACGGTGGTGGATCGCCTAAATTATTAAAATATCAATTGAAATCTACTTAAGACATATTATACGTATACAGTTAGATATAATAATAATGATAATAGTTTTATTTGAGAAAGATTGCAACAAAAAAAAAAATGTCTCCCGAGTTAAAATGATTTGTATGATGGAAAATTAGACAACGACACATACTTGATGTACTCGGATTTTTACTTCCCCAAGATTGCGAAGAAGAGGTTTTCTTATTTTTTGATTGTTTTGTCGGTTTTGAATGTTCCTCCTCCTCCTGTTCAGAACGGTAAACTTTGAATTGTTTTTCAGTACGAGTTTTTTTAATTTTTTTTTACGTTCTCATTACTAACATTAAGAATGAATTAGAATTAAATTTTTTTTTAATTAATTGTCCCGAGTGTTGCAATAAAAAAATTTAAACTGTGTTATTTAAAAAAAAAAAAAAAAATTTAAATGACTTGTAACAACACCTGATACAACATCAGGAAAAAAAGGAGGTTCAACTGAAACCAAACTGTAAATAAATTGTACTTATATATAAATACCTGAGGTCCGCAACAAGTGTTAAGCGCACACGTTTGATCTTCCGATTTTGGACAATCCAAAACGCATCCTCCATTTTTTTTTGAATCTGAAGAAGTTTGAGATGTTCCTTTGGGCATCTGTAATAAAAAAAAAAAAAAATTCACTCAAGTCATGGTCAAAAGAAAAAAGAAAGTAAGGGATTTAAAAATTTACCTCGTTTATTTCTAAAAACTCGGGTTGTATCGTCGTCGAATGTATTCCTTCGTTGTGAAAAAATTCTTTAACTTTTTCTGCTAATTTCATATATTCTGATAAATTTCTACACCTGAAATAAATTCAAACGCGCGTGTGCGTATACGTCACTTTGTCAGAATGTGTAAAACTTGTGGGAAAAGTAAAATTCTACCTAATATGGGCTGATGCTATAATTCTATCTCCCGTTAACTGCCACACGTGAAATTCGTGAACAGCTAAAACTCCATCAACCTTGTCTAAAAGTCTTCGCTGAATGGCATCGACCTGTATGTGAGTAGGTACGGTTTGAAGCAATATCAAAGCGGATTCTAATAGCAAAGGCCAAACTGATTTTAATATTAAAACAACCAAAACTAAACTTAATGCCGGATCTAAATAAAACTTGGAATCCCAATCCGTTTTCCATATGACCTGAAAATAATTTAACAGGTGATTAAGTCAGTGTTGAAAAGAAAATTTTCGAGTTTCAACATGGAAATAATAATAATAATAATAATAATACTTACTAATGCCGATATGACAACTACGACGGATCCCAATGCATCGGCTAAAACGTGAAGAAATATCCCTCTCATGTTCATTTGAGAAGCATCGCGAAATGAATGACTATGCCCTCGGGATCTTTTTTTTTCCATAAGAGTCGAGGATGGCGTTTTGAAATTTTGATCATTTTCATTAATATCATCTTGTGCTACCGTATTCAATGGATTTCCATGCTCTGAAATCATACAAATTTTTCCAATTAAAAAAAAAAATATTTTTTTTTGAATAAATATCACGTTCATGATGGAATTAAGGAAGTAAGGAAATGGATTCGAAAAGTTTCTCCAAAGTTTCCATGCAGATTATTTTTTGTAAGTAGAAAGTACCATACCATTATTAAAAGTTAATTTAATAATTTCTGTTATAGTTATTATAGTGAGATAATAATAATAATATGAGTTTCGTGATGTTTATGGCATGTTCATAATTTTATTATATTCCATAAAAAATGTTTCTTGTGACAATTCACAAAAAAAAAAATTAACTTTCACTTTTTTTTTTTTTTCAACTATTAATTTCAAATTTTTTTATACAGAATATATAAAATATTTAATAATAATAATAATAATAATAATAATAATAATAATAAATTGCAGGAAATAAAATTATTAATATTATAGAAATGTAAAAAAAAAAAAAAAATGATATTCATCAGAGTGTTCTGAACTTTTTTTTTTTTTTTTTTTTGAATTTCCCTTCTTCCAAAATTATTTCGACAACAAAAAAAATTATTTAAATATTATATATTAATTAATTAACATTTAATAGAACATACAATTCGTAATAAAAATTTATTAATTATTTTATTAAAATAACGAAGAATAAATCTCATTGTTGTAATAATAATAATAATAATGTCTTATTATTATTAAAAAACATGGTCACTCCGTGAGAGAAACAAAATATTTTTTAATTTAATTATTGGAAAATAAATTTTAGGTACCGGAAATATTAACTTTACGTTTTAACCGTCCTCCTCCAGTTTTTCCAGACTCATTTGAATCGGAAACATTTTTTTTCGATTCCTCATTAAAACCTTTTCCCGTCCTCCTTTCGTGAATTCGTTCCAATGCGTCTGGCGTTACGGAAGTTTTAGATCGAAGGTTACCGGGCACGTGTTTTTTACTATAATCTAAACAGGTACGCAAAAGAGGGAAGAAAAAGAAGAAAGGAACTGAGTGGGAAAAAATCCGTTCAACGTCATCATTATTCGATTACCAATTTTTTTAATTTTACCCACAATTGTGGTTAAAATAAAATATTCGACAACTCTCACATAATAATAATAATCGTTTAAAAATTATGACATGTAATTCTTTAACTGCAGCAAAAAAAAAAAAAAAAAAAAGAGTTTCTCACCGTGAAAAAGTCCCAATCCCACAATGTTAACAACCAAACCCACACTCCCAA